TTTCAAAGCAAATTAACCAAGTGACTATCAAAAATAGCCAGCAAAAATCAAGATTGCTTTGGTTTTCATAATAGAAACTGGAAATCACAGTTTGTATTTCCCCCTAACAACTTTCCCCACTCAAGCCACCTGACCTTACAACTTAAAGGTTTAGTCTTACTCTACTACTCAGATTAATTTCTGCCCTTAGTTAGGGCTTTATGCCTCCCAGGTCATACCTCAATAATTCATACCCTAGATGTAACAGGTGAACATCACTATACCTTAGATCATTTAACTTCTTCCACTGAGACACGTTCTTGCCTAATGCATATGGATAATCCTCTTAGATCATTATTCCTTGCCCATATGGCTCCCAAATTCTCAACATCAGATTTTCTGACTCAGTTCTTTAACCTCAGTTCTTTCAATAATTCAGTGCCCAAATATGACCAAGCTTTTTACATAGTTTATACAACATATATCTACCCTGGCAAGTTTATCTTCTAGCCCCTATTCCATCTAATCAGGTATGCTTTTTCTCAAAGTCCTGACACCCAGCTCTTCAAGATCCCTGTTGTCTTGAAGAAACATCATGACCCATGCATAAGTTCTATATTGCAATAAATTTGTATTCCTATGTATAGAACACATCAAACATTTTGACTGCTATGAATTTAAAGAAACTTGACCATAAATGAATAGATGAACTTGATATCCAGACTTTTAAAATATTGGTTTAAATTTGCTTTTGTACTTATTAGTTCTGATTGTCAGAGCACATAATTTAAAATTTATAAGCTTCAGTTTTCTCCTTTGAACAAATAAGTTTAAAATACTTTAGTTTCTGCTTCTATTCATAAAGAAGTAGTGGCCATAAGACTTGCCCTCTGTTGTAATAATTAGAAAACTAGATGAAAGTTATAAAACAATCATCACACACTGAAAAACAGACAGAGAAGCTCTATAATGCCTGAAAAAAGAGAAAGAAAGGGAATCTTACAATACCTGGATTTCTATCTGGAGAAAAATTTTGGATCATGGTGTGTGGAGGACAACCCAAACAGAACTTCAGAATTTTAAAATTTTGTAGTTGAAGACACAAAGATGTTAGTTTGGAGTGAACAGAGCAGCTAGAATTTTTGAGCAGATTACCATAAAGAAGGAAAATACAAAGAGAAATAACTCTAGAAATCTGTATAGGTGTTTCCCTGACAAATTTCTTTGAATAGTAATCTTCACATATGTAGAGTGAAATTTCACATGAAAAAGAATAATTAGAGAGAAACCTAAATAGAATAATTCCCAAACCTTTTATGGGTGTGGAAATCTTTCAAATTCCCATCAGCCAGATTAGTGAACTCTCATTGAATACATAGGGTACTCAATCAAGAGCACAAAAGGGTCAAGTTTTAGTAATAGGGATAACTCTAAAAATGACATCATACCCATTCTTTTTTTTAAGCAAGCCTCAAAAACATCATTCTGATATACAAGTAACTTAACCATCTCCCAGACCAATTCTAATTCCTTCTAAAGGAATAAACAAAATCTAGCATTTAACAAAATAAAAAACAGTATCTAGGAATCAATCAAAATCACTGGACATAAGAAGAAATAAGATAATGTGATTTATAACCAGGAGAAAATTCAGTCAACAGAAACAGACCTGGTAATGACAGATGACAGAATTAACAGACAAGAAGTTCCAAATACTATTATAAATGTAAATGTGTCAAGGAGTTAAAGAAAAGTATGACTATAATGAGAGAAATAAAAAACAATATATCGAAATTATACTTCTAAAAACTAAAACTTAGATACCTGGAATTAAAATTTACCTGAGTGGAATTAATAGTAGATTAGACACTGAAGAAGATAAGGTCAATGAACTTTAAGATGTAGCAATAGAAAATATACAAAATGAGGCACCAAGAAAAGAGAAAGACTTTTAAAAAAGTAAACAGAGTGTCAGTGGCAGATGACAAGCCATTTAACATTTAATCTGAGTCTCAAAATTAGATGGTGGGAGAAGGAGGGAATAGAAAACTTAAAGAAATAATGGCCAATTTTCTCTAAAATTTTATGAAAGCAATACCTACTTTAAAAGGTTGTCATGAGTATCAAATGAGAAAATGTGTGTAAAAAACATTTTTACTGTGTTTCTTTGTTTGTCAATATGAATATTTTTCATTGTTTATGAATATTTTCTAAATAATTTGCGTTCTTCAAATAAAAGGCACAAAATAGGGGTATTTTGTTCAAATTAATCTTATATTCAGACATATTATATATGTGTAGTAATTATAATAAAAATTAAAATAAGAAGAGGAAAAAGAAGATAATTACTATTGTAGGATATGCCGTGCCTGGCCTTTTGCTAAGTGCTATCCACATATTATCTAGCTTAGTCTTCATAGCGACCACATGCAGTAGCTACTAAATTTATTATTATTTTTCAAGTATAAAAGATAAGATTAGGAAATATTATATAATTTATTAGACAGTACACAGAAGAAAGTGGCAAACCAGAGCTTTCTACCCACATCAGTTTGAATTCAAAAGTACATCATTATGTAGTTTCCCATATCTTAAAAGTTATGATCATGAATGCTACTATAGAATTTATTTTTAGACTACACTGCCAGGTTTAAGAAATGTTCTAATGTTTTGTATCTTTTTAATATAAAATTCAAACTCTTCAAAATGTATTCTGTAGATGTAGATAGTTTTCTCTGCTCAGAAATCAGGCTATCATTTGTTTACAAAATTAACTTGTTTGCCGGGTTGATTCTAGGGCCTTTTCTATAGTCATGAGAGTAATGGTTTATTTTTTAAAATGAAATAACCTTAGTTAATATTTGTCTTCATATGCTTTTGTCTAAATGATTTGAGAAATGAATTTTATACATGAAGAGAGAGCGTTTAAAAAAACCTCTTGAAAACATTTAAACATAAACGCTGTCAGCAAATGTGAAGATTTTTATCTAATAAATTATTTTCCTTATAACTATGAATACTTGTTATTGCACTCTAAATGTGCTATTTAACACAACAGCAAAAACAGTAACAATCTTAAATTCCAAAATATAAAGCTAGAAATACAATGATTAAGTCAGGCATATCTTTCTTACAGGTCAGTTTTCTTACCAGATGTATTAGTGATAATGCAGAATATATAGTTATGTGCTATTCCAATTTTCATCAGAAATAGGGACTTTTATTTAAATCAAAATTATTAATGATAATATGAAAAATTGTTACACTTGTATTTTGTAAAGCTCTGTCAAATAATTTAGAGGCATGTAAAAATTTACAATAAAAATAAATCCCAATATTTATTTATTTGTATTCTTTTCGATTTTCTCCTGATAGCATTTAAAAAACAAAAAGAAGAAAAGAAAATGCAATTTAGGTATAGGCTAACTTATGAGAATATATAAGTCCTCATTTATATATATCTTTGCTATTTTAAAATTTATCCCCAGTTTCCAAAAACTGCTATCACAGTAAGCATTTGCTTAAAGAACTAGTCCATACTCCTTCTCTTGAAAGACTTCACAATTTGGTCAATTTGTCAGTCTTATTTTTCTACCATTCCTTTTGACCCAATTCACAATACATGCCAACTAAACCACAGATGTTTCCTAGACCTTTTAGAGCTGTGCTTCTCAAAATTTAATGTGCATGTGAATCACCTGAAAAATTTGTTAAAATGTATATTCTTATGAATCAGGTCTTGGGTGGAGTCTGGGAGTCTGCATTTCTAGTGAGTTCCCAGGTGATGATATGTTGCTATTCCAGGCACCACACTTTGAACAGTCAGGTATTTAGAGTACTGCATGCTGTTCTCTTCCTGCACTCCCTCCTCAGTCTCTAAGACTGTCAAGATGCTGTCCTCCCCTGTGGCCTTCTGTGTATATGCCTGTTCACAGGCTGAATGAACCTCTCTCATCTCATGATCAGAGAAAATTTTGTATACCTGACATCATTCTCCTGAAGTTTTACCTTCATTTGTATGTAACCAATGATCTAAACTTTGAGAGGACTATTTATTATTTATTTTGATATCTCCAATATCTAGCATGATGTCTGGCCCATAATAAGTATACAATAAATGTATATTGCTGAATAATTAAAGGAAGTGGTTGAGAGAAGGAAGGAAAGTGAATAGAAGGTAAGAGAAATGAAGGAAGGTAAAAACGAAGAATTAGGTACCGTGAGATCACATTTCACTGCAATTTTCAGTTAGCCCTTCAACATACAAAGCTTCCGCAGTAGGGAAAATAACAGGAATTGAAGCTTTCATTGCATTTTATGGAGGAGGATCTTTCCTTATTTTGCTTTCTAAACGTTAGCATTTCTAGGGAAGATAGAGAGATAGACACAGACTAATTTTTTTCTTGTGCCACAAACACTGTTTTACAATAGGCTTGCTAAAAAAAAGACGAGCTCTTCTCCCATTTAAATTAAGCACAGTGTTTACTGGGGATTTAAAGTGAATCCGTCTCCTTTTAGTGTAGAAAGCAGTTATAAGAGAAGAGAGAGAAAGTCCTTTGTGAGGAGATTATATTCTGAATATTTCCTAGGTGATCAGTGCTGCAAAGGATGCTGCTGCTTTTATCTACCTTACTCATGTTTTGGCCCTGAAATGTTCCAGGTGCAGAGCAGTAGAGTAAGATCTTGCCTATCATAACATATTCTATATGTACTGTTTTCATTTTAAACAGCACCTTTGAGATGGTGTTTTTACCAAGGGTCAAGCAATCATTACAAAAAAAAAAAAGCTTTATATTGTACTTTTACTTACGGTCTTAGGATTTAGCAAGGAATGCATTGAACCACTTCTGAAGACTTACTCAGGTACAGATATTGGCGTACATGTGAGATATTCATCTATATTTGAATCTTCTTTGTTAAATGAATTATTTTCTTTTTTTATAAGTTTTGAAATAACTATTACTAATTATTAGTTAACTTCTTCTTTGCCAACAGTAATTTTTTTTTGTTTTTTCTTTCAGGGTTTGAACCTGAGAAGATTGGAGACAGTACAAGGAGGGAGAGAGGTAAGAAAGTCTAAGGGAGAGTGATAGGGAGGAAAAGAAAATAGTTAGTGTTTTAGTGATGCCGTTGGTGATGGTGACATGATGATGATGACGATGATGATGATGATGATGATGATAATGGTGATGGGGATGTAGTAAGAGGAATTTCGTATACATATATCCCATTCACTCTGGCCAAAGTGCATTTTACATGTTTATGTAGATGTATTATTTGTGCCTGTTCCTCTGAAGCTGAAGAGAATACTGTTTCTCTGGTTAGGCAGGCTGTTTCTGTTAAAATGTATTTTTACAACACAGGACCCTCTGGACAAGACTAAAAAGCCTTTTAAAGAAAACATTACTTGTAATAATGGTTTACTGAGAAATTAGCAAAATTCTAACAATGGAAACATTTTATGACACCAGGGATCCTTCATTCTCTTGTGTAAGGCTACTGGTATATGCTACTAGGCTGGTATGCATTCTTAGTGTGAAATTGCTCTGGTGAGACTAGTGGTTTTAGAACTTTATTGTCAATACTAGATGCTTTATAAAGAAGAGAAATTTTTAATAGTAACAAACATAATAACATTGTATACATAATGCATATTTTTATTTTCTAATTCTAATGCGCAAACTTAACCATGATTAAAATTATTTTCATTCTAAATGTATAAATGTTGTACTTTGTGATTTAGATTGTGGGAGTAGAGGAATAATGGAATATTTAATTCAGTAAATTAGTATTTTCTTGTTGCCCAAAAAGTAATTTTTTTGGTGATATTTATATAACAATTTGGGGTGGGGGCAGGGGCAAAAGTAAAGATATTTTGTCTTGCAAAATGAGAAAATGAATCTTCACCTCCCTCCCCAGCTGTGGCTTCTCTTTCCATAAAAAGTTTTCTTAAGTATTAAATATGTGATGTTTTCCTTTTCTTTCCTTGCTGTTATACTTTCAAGTTTTGTGTTTTTCACATTTGGCATTTTAGTTCCTAGTAAAATTGTCATTTAGGGCTTCTTCCCATTTTATTGCTATTTTCCATCCAGATGAATCTGTTCTTTTCGAAGGACATGTAATAGTTGGCTCACATTGGCAGAAGAGCTTAAGAAGGTAAATATTAGATGTTTTTCATGTTGTAGGAGAGCATGGTAATAAGGACATGATCATCAGTAAAGGCAAAGTAGGAGGAAAAACAAAACAAAGTGTACTGTGTAAGGAAGATCTCAGCCACTTACAGTTTTGCAAGGGTAACTACTTTTGCTCAGATGTGACCAAAATGAATCTACTTAGATAAAGAACTTAACTCATCACCTCCTAAATGAAAGTTCACAGCAAAGCAGTATTGCCATAATTTATCTCTGCTGATTCAGTGCCTTTCAAGACATATACAGTTTGGAGTTATCCAGCTTCTCACTGCTGTATCCTAGTTCAATAGCAACTATGTGTTCAAAGAAGGAAAACCTAAATCCATATACTCACATAGTGGTGTTGCTAAATGATAGTGATATTCTTCATTTGTTTTATTAGGATTTTGCTGCTTTTCATGTTATTTTTAAAAGCCTAATTACTGATTTTTACTGAGAAGAGTTGCTGTCAAATAGTATTGCTTATTTTCCCATTTCCTCTTTTATATGCACTTATGGTTAAGGAACATGTCGATGATGTATTTTAATTTTTTTTTTAAGTTTTTTTCTTAAAACTATTTTGTGGTTTGTGTGGTCAACAACTTAATCACCTATAACTTAATACATACATCTGCATTGAGGGGACAACCTTGATTTGGGCCTTCTCTCTGAGGTTGGTGGAATAATTGTGAGGAAGGTAATATCATCAAATTAATGATAGCCCAGTAATGTCTTCTATACTCGACACCCTCAATCCTGGAGTAAAATGTAAATGTCAACAATCGAAATTCAAAACAACCACTTCACCTCCTTTCTGGTTAACACAGGATTACTTGAGCATATTTCTTTTAAACATAATACTCAATTTTTCTCGTGATTATAAAGCTTAATATATTTTGTGGTAAGAAATATTAGGAAAATATCAGACAATTAGATGAAATAAGTTGTGAAAATTGTTCTGTTGAGTCTCAGTGGTATGTGATCTGTAAACAAATAGTACAATGACTGTCTTAAGAGCCTCTTGATCTCTCTTGCTTAGGGGCCATGATATGTATCTTTATGATTCTTATTTGCTGTGTTCTGTTATTTGTATGCATTACAAATATGTATAATATGTCTCCGATTATGTTAAATTGAAATGTGTGGATTTAGAAAACTCTTATGCAAAATATTCTCTTAGAATCTATCACCCTAATGCTATTGTGATCAAGGACGATTTAATGGCAATGATTACTTCTTAAGAGGAGTTGATTAATTCAAATGACAGATATTCCTATTAGGTGTTGATGAAAGCAATACTAAGGGCCTATTACCAAATATTTATAAGAATATTTAAGAAGTGTAATTTACAATGTTCTATTTACCAATTTGAGATGACAACAGTTAGACTGTGTGTGGAAAATTGAAGCAGGCCATAATATGCTATTTAGCTAGATCTTAATTACTATTAAAAAGCTGACTGCTAGGTAAGAAAGCCAGATATGAACATTACACACTGTATAAAAATATAAATTAAAAGTTTTTTTCCTGATAAAAATACAGATGAGTAGCACCTAAATCACTTGTATCATTGTGAAATATTTGAAAATATATATGTTGTATTTTTAAGTTACATTAATATTTTTGCATATTTATGCATGCATACTATGTCTAAATTGAGGTGACTGATTATAATAGCTAATAACAACTTTTTTTAAAAAGGGAGATTAGTGGAGTGCTGTAAAACTGTGGTTAACTGATATTTCTATATGGTTAAAAACTTCCTGTCTATGGCCATGCCACCCTGAATATGCCCGATCTCATCTGATCTCGGAAGCTAAGCAGGGTCGGACCTGGTTAGTACTTGGATGGGAGACACCCTAGGAATACCAGGTGCTGTAGGCATTTTTAAAAAACAAAAAAACAAAAACTTCCTGCCTCCGTGGGATCTTATAACTCATAGAAACACCTCAGTGAAAATTTATTTGGTGTGACACATAATAAATCATTATTTTTTTCTCAAGAAATTTCTGTTCTTCTATATAATGCTTTTATAGTTAACTGTGATTAAAGCCAAATTACTGTCAGTTTTCTTAAAATATTATATGCTTTTGTTGCTTTAAATACTATTGTATTTTCCAAAGTACGATTTTTTTTTAACTTATTAGTTAAAGGTTCATCTCTGAGTTCATGTGTTTTCATGTGTGCATATGTGTGGGGGCGTGTGTGTGTACACCTTGATTTTTAATGGCAGATTGTTTCTACCTCCACCCTACCTACAATATGATCAACTATCTGTACTCTGGATATCTTATATCACATGATATTTGACTTTATATCATGGGTCAAGAGAACTAATTATTATGGTTGGATATCTAAATCATGGTCAAACATCTAATTTCAGAAATTGTACTGAATTTGGTAAGCTAAGGTGAGACATAACAGTTAATGGAACTTTTGGAATATGGCTGTGTTGTTGGAAGTTATTTAGATTTCAGAACCACAAAGGCAATGGAAATACAGCGCCAGTGTGTAATGATCAAAAATCACTTTTATATAATTGTAAACCTCAGATCTCCCAAAGTGATGAATAGAATAAGCAGAGATCTCTTATTCTATTCAATGTTGCCATTCTTCACCTGTAATTCTGAAGACAAGATTAATATTGATTAATATTGATATGCTTAAATATTTAAATAGTTTTATACTCTTACAAAACATTATGAATGTGCTTCTTAAATATCTGAAGGAAAATTAACATTTTAGATAATTTCTAGAAGCATTCCTTAGATACTTAAGCAAAAAAACATTGGAAACATATTTATCCCTTTACTAGAAAAATTTTCTGTTGTGTTCTGGGAATTTTCAGTTGATTATAATTGACCAAGACACTTAAAACAACATTTTTATATGGTGGATTGCAAGTATAAATAGATAGATTCTGACAGACACACAGGAGAAAGTAGACATTTCAAATTATTAAAACAGCTGATTTATGAATGTGTCATTCTCAAGAAAATCATGAGAATGTCTTGCAACCTATCTGTTTTGTAGTCCAGAATGCTTCACTAACTTTCTCTATTAGACTACAGTGTACTCATTTTTTTTTTGCCAAAAACCATAAATAGGAAATTATAGATGATGTGAACTTCTAATATTTAAAGAAATAATTCTTAAAAGACATTTGAAAAAAGTAGACTGGGTATTAAATGTTTAGTTAAATGCTATTTTCTAACTTTACATTTGAATGTATTCATCATTTAAAATGATGATTCAAGATTTTCTATTTATATAAAGTATCACTTGAGCATATGATATTCCTGAAGAAATTATTTTATTGTGATAAATAGTGGAGTTTATGCCTTTGCTAATAGAGTTGGATAAATTTTTCATTGTTTATCCGTTAACAGATTATTTATTTGTACTTTTGAGTTGAAAGGCATTTTTAAATTTGAGTCCCTAAAGGGAGAAAATTCAAAGAATGAGATAAATTATATTTTACATTTCAAAATAACTTGTCTACCTAGAATAGTAGCAGAAGCATATTTCAAGTGGAACAAAAAAAAAATGCCATTGATTTTCTTTCCATTTATAACTTAATCAGAATTATTAAGTGGGTCTGGGTTATTGCTTAAGAAAACTTTCTATTATTTCTCCCAGATCCAACAGACCACCTGAGAGAATTGTTTTTTAAAGGGATAAAAGAAGAAAAATATGTGAGTTCTGAGAATATAACTAAAATTGAACACAGTGTATTGTTCTTGGAAATAGGAGTTAGCAGAAGGTGTTGATGTGCCATTGTTCTCTTAAAATCTAATATTTTATATAATTTTGAAATTATAAAAGATAGTTATGTGTCATAAACTTTGTGCATCAAGTATAAAATCTTCACTAAGAAGCAGATTATAATTACCAGT